TCAGAAAGAGTTAGCCCACGATCAAAATATGTTTCCACGATTTATTAAAAAGCATTGGAGCAGATATTAGAAAATTAGCTAATTTCTTCGACTATTAGTTGTGCAACTAACATTTTATCTCACATAAAGTGAACCGATCTGACTGTTTCCTGATGACCGCTTAAACAGAGCTACCAAAAGTACCTAATCATTTAACGTAAAAACGCACACCACAACCGAGCTTAAAAAATAAATGAAGAGAACTAAGTATTTTCCCATTGAATTCCGCTTAACGTAAAATGTCTCTGCAAAATTTCCGCATGCATTCCGAACGAAAACTGAAAAATACCAAATACTTCCTTGACCACATGCTACGACAGCACAGCATTTTGCAGGCGAGAACTTCTACATATATTTTTGAAACATGACGATTGCTTTCACTGGTGCGTCCTTTCCGCTTACTGCTGAGCCTTGTAGTTTTTCAAATCTGCGTGGCCCGGTACACGGGTACCAAATTCGTGTACATGAACAAAAACTTTCACCTTCGCTCACTCCCAAACACATTTTTGCTTTGTTTTATGACATTTTGCAGCTAGATGATTCCTATACATTGGCGTAAAAACCGTTTGTGCGCGTAACATTAGGTTCGGGAGTTATGGCTGCAAGAAAATTCCATAAAGTTTAAATCTATTCGAGCGTACCAAAAGTCTCCTTATGTACCGATCTCCCTCAAATTTGGTACGTAAACGCACATACACATGAAGATTGTCTTTGTCGAACCACCTTTCTGACATTGTTTTCTCATTTTAAAATGAATTTACAAAAATTTGAAATTCTTTTTAAAATTTGAAAAAATGGTGCAACTCTGATTCGGTGTAAAAACAATCTTCATAGTGCTCATATTGCCATGCATTTATGTGCAAAATTTAAAGAAGATCGGTCGTTCCATAATGAGACTTTTGGTATAATGAGCATCTGAACTTTTCGGAATTTTTTTTGCGACCATAACCCCCGAACCGGATGTTGCGCGCACAACGGTTTTCACGCCAATGTATACAAATCATTCTAGCGGCAGAATGTCATAAAACAAAGTAGAAATGTGTTTGGGAGTGCTCGAAAGTAAAAGTTTTCGCATGTACGCAAATTTAGTATCGTGTACCGGGCCACTTCCATTAATATCATTGCGTTACTAACTGAATGCAATAATATTGTTGAATGAAGGTTGAATGCTATGCAACCTTTGTTATTGGCCATTTCGGGCCAAAGATGGGCTGAACATCAATAAAATTAATGCAGTTTTATTACAAGCGACGAATGAAATTCTCTGGGTGGGAAAAATGTGGTGTTTGACAGAGTTTTTGATGGCATGTTGGAAGTGTACTGAGTGTGACACTGAAGGAGGTTAGCAAAGTTGCTACCGGACCGAATACCGGACTACCACGTCAGTCTTGCGCGTTATAAATCCGAGAAGATATGTACGCCTGATATTTTAGTGCATGCCGGTGCCATTGCGCAATGTGGACAGATGTGCATATCTCTTTACGTCAGCACTTTTAATATAAGCATCACGGTAACGACATTGAAGTCCTAATTGTACAGTACATAAGTGCCACACCATACGATAACGACCTTGCTATAATTCGTCGGTTTATGCGTATTAGAATGGCAAGGTTATGTGACAGATTCCAGGCGGTAGCCGAATCGTAGACCAGTCTAGCTGCAGAAGTACGTATACAGAACGACTGACTTGTGAGATCAGTCGTAGACTCGGAGTGTACAGGTCTGAAAGAGGCTACGAGCATGGCAAATTAAATTTGAGAAATGTGTTTGGGAGGCTGGTATTTAGTTTGCCATGGTACCGTATAACAAATTATATACAATAGAAGTACATATTGCCGTATGCGATCTTTAATATGTGTCATCACCTGAGCTTCCCCGGACCGCGTAATTCTGATGATAGATCCATAGTAAAATGATAAAAATTACAAGTACTTGGTTGTTAAAAAAAACATCTTCATGTAAAAACTAATGACCGCAACACAGCACGCAGTGTAGCCTGTGTATACTTCACAATTAACGTGCCGGTAATTTTGTTACAAAAATCGGTTGAAAAGCTGAAATACTCGTATCAGTCAGTATTTGCTAACAACGCCAGTAAATTTAGTTCATGCAGGAATCAGCATGGATAATGTAATTGGTGTTTATAAGTACCCCCTCCCACCCACGTTTATTATTGGATATTCGCGTTTCGCTTCTGGTGACAACACCGGTTTAACTGACAGTATTCTCAGGAAATCTCAGCAAAGTGGCAGAGGCAACTCAAATTAAACCGTTAGCCCTGCTGGTGAACAGGACAATCATAAGACACAGTACTTACACAACGACAGTTTGGCTGACATCATGGCGTTTCGGCATACCAGTAGTTAGGTCTCTCGTTCACCCAATGGACTCTGTGCACTGGGCAGTAGTGACACAGCTCGGTCACGGGTATTCCTACTTCGCGGACATGGACGGACGTGGACGGACGGACGGACGGACGGCTGGACAGGACGGACATTGGATGGACGAGGACAAAATGGAGGACGGACACTGGATGGTCAAGGACATGGACAGTGGACGTGTGGTGGGCAGATACGTACGAATCTTAATTTTTCTTATTTGCGATTTGAACTACAAAGGACATACCAAGTTTTTCCCCATGTTGCCGGGTTGCCATTTGGAGTTAAACAACAACGATACATTGTTTTTTTTAAGAACGTATTGTCCGAGTTATCTAAGAGCCAATGAACTTTAACTATTAATGAAGAACTAGCCTAACAAAAGATCGCGAAGCCGGTGCTATTTCGATCCGACTAACCGCAGTATTCCCTCAAAAATCAGTTCTTTCACTGCCACTTCTCTCCTCATCAACTCTTTTTAATATATTTAGTGATATTTAGTGCAAATAGTGTACTCGTACAATGTGTCTATCTGTCGGTATATCTGTAACTACGCCATGTATGTAAGTTTATAATGTAAAAGGTACCAATAATACTAAAGACTACTGCTCACAAGCCAAATGGAACAATACTTGCAGTTGTTAGCAAGACTTTTATCATTGTTCACCTGCACAACCGGAAATAGCCATAAGACCGGTTTCACTATTGTTTATCGATCTTTATTTTGAATCGTTCATCTAGTATGGTCGTCGACGAACGGAAGCAAAATTAGTGAGATACATAATTTCGTCAATGATGCGCTAGTACGAGTACCCTGGGTACAATTGTACTTACTAGTAGGTGTAAGTGTCTATAATTACATTTATACGATATTTATATCTGCCGTATATTGCTGTACAACCACAACAATTATGTAAAAACAAATTTTAATATTGTTTCTTATTACTAATCCGTAATTCAGATAGACACAAGTCGTAGTATCAGTACTGTACAGTTATTGTGTACCGTACTATTGCGTCTGTTCTTGTACGAATAAATGCAGTACCCTACGTCGCTTCTTTAATTTTGAAAAAAGCCGCGGTAATATGCAAATGCCTAACTGAATATTTGCTTTCGTTTTAGATGAGGACTGCGCAAATTAATCCTCAACTAAACCGAGATGAGGACTGAGCAATCCTCTTTAGCAAACAAACTCCTAATGTTCACATAAAATGAACAGTCTCTCTACCTGAATAATTATTATGATGCTACGAATTTCTACAAGCAAGTGGAAATGTGTCGAAAACCAAATAATTTGCACGATATGATTGCAGGCACCGGCAAATTTGTAAGTAATAACCTTCATTGTGACCTCTGTTTATATACGAAAGCTATTTTGTTATGTTTTTGTAATTGATAGTTCATTGTCCGCTGCTTTGCTGACAGTGGAATTTGTTACATCACGCTGTACAAATTGATTAATTACGTGGTTAGCAATGTCCGTTCAGTGGTCGCACCCTTTAATCTTCCCAGTTTTAGTGGTGAAGGGGTCATCCATAATTGCTTAGCATTGCCAAAGAGAATGTAGTTTGTACGTTAAACTTAAAAATAAAATAATTTTTTGAGCAATGATTTTTAGAAAATGTTTGTTTCTAGTGCATAATTGCTTCTAAGAAGTACGGCAATATTCTGCACCGCTCCATGAAGAGCGAATTTCCAAATTTACGTTAGCGTTGTATGATTGTGATGAATGGTGATGATCTTGTGTTTATCAGGAGACGACTAAAATACGAGTAATTCATCTTGAGAATTTATTTTCTTTACGACGAATGCAGATTTGTATTTGCAGTGGTCGATATGAACGACAGAATAGTGGTCACGAAAACGGCAAACATGAGCACTACTACACTAACGGGCATAACGGAGTGGCAAAGCACGAGGAACACGAGGAATACCACCGGATCAGCGGCAGAACGCAGGTGCGCGATGCCGATACAAAGCCATGGACAATGTGCAAGTCAGCCCGACAAACGCGGTGAATGCGTGGAAACAGGGATTGCCGGTGCGCCCGCCGAGTGATGATGAGCATGAGCATGACGAAGACGCATGGAATGGTATGTCCGTTTTTTCCCGCGATTTAACGGGGCGAAGATTTTAGCGGCAAACGTTTCTTGTAGAACTTTATTATTTTCCTGAATTGTGTTAGAATTTATTGTATTTTCATTTCATATGGGTTTTGATTTCCGCGCTAGGGTTGAATAAAAATTTTGGCAGTAGAATTTTACTGAACAACTAAATTTTTACTATACCACTGAACCTTAACTAAATTTACCGAATTTTTTTATTGTTCTGCGAAATTGTGTTGAAAACTGGTAATTATTTTTATGCGGTTTTTTGATTTTGCAGAGCCGGAGAAAACAACGCATCCAGGCGTAACCAGTCCGACCCTGTCCAGCGCTACCCTCGTCAGAAATGTTATATAGTTTAATGATTACTTTTCAATTAGCCTTAGATATTACAGATTACCTCCTCTTTTATATAAAACTTACCAATATGAAACATTTAGATATGGATATCAGATACCATTTTGTATTTATTTTGGCATATACGACATAACAAGTTTTGCATAAAAAACCAGCATCCGAGACATACTTTCTCATGAAAACACCAACATAATTAAATACAAAAATAGATTTCGATAATGCGCCAGAAGCATAAACGGAAAACTGACAAGAATGATAGAAATTACAAACGAACCAGCATGGATAGCATTAGCGACTACTAAATGCACAAGTTAATTATCGCGACGATGGCAAGCACAATTGTGGATGTCGACATCCACGCACTTCTCGAAGGATTCGCGTCTGGCCAAGGACCGGGAGAGCAGTACTCCATCTGCCCTGCAAAACATTTAAATTTTAAACCATCAGCACGGTTGACTTATTTACTATATGATATTTTCAGCTGCACGATAACTGCATTCAAGTTTTACATGAACCCAACAGATGCTGCATTTCAGATCTACTGCATTCAAGTACGGTCATTCGCTATAGAAAAGCGCTGCGTGATAGGACTTTTAATACACCAGCAACAAAATTACTATGCATGGCGACATGCAATTTTCAAACAAAAAATCCTAAATTAAGAATTATTGTTTTTGTTAACAGAGCATTTTGCCAATAAAATAAAACGAATGGAAAAATCGACACTTTGATATAAAAATTCTGTATTGTCTTCACGAGCCAGCTGCAATGGTCAGGACAGTGCAGCAACAACGCATTAAATACATTATTTATTATTTTTTAAAAATTTATTATTTGGAAGAGATTCAAAAAAATGGCAAAAACAAATTTATGGAAAATTATGCTCTTTATATACGCACCGCCAATTACGCACTGACCGCCACTTTTGAAACAGGCATATCGACAAGCAATAAGCGACAAAAAAGACGTGCATGTCGACATGCAAATAAGCGATTAGAAAGATTTAAATCAACATAAATTTAATAAGTACGTTGAACTTGTCGCTGCTGCACTTTAAATACCTTATGAAAAATTCTTTAAAAAAGATCTAGTATCTGCTCGTTTTTTATGCTTAAGGTAACAAAAAGGACTAATATTCCCCTTAAAGCGAAATTCGTTTTATTGTTTTGTATCTAAAAATAGCGCTCCACTACACAACTGGTTTACCTGTTGCTTTACTGCATGTCTTCATGCACATTTGTCCAGCTGAGCACTGCCTCCTGAGGATCTGGAAATAAAAGCGCACAGAATATTTCGACACGTACTATCTTTTTGATGCGTAAATTGGAAACTATTCGATCAGCTCTTACCCTAGAACTAGTCCAAAATTGCTGTGGGTCCTCGCAGCATTGCAGGCTGGATTGGAGGTCGCACTTTCTTCCACAAACATGCCGTGCGTCACAGTTCCACGCATAATAATCAACACTAGCAGTGTTTGTATTAATGTTTTAGAACGAAATCTGACTGTCGACAGCCACCAAACAAAACAACGTCAAAGATCCAAACAAAATTCTAAGAAATCGTTTTGAAAGCTGTTATAAAACAGTCGAGAAATCCCGTTTCCGAAACTAGCTGGCAAAATCAAATTGGGCGCAACGGCGCTGAACGTAAACTAGTGGTGAACAATGAAACTGCTCCACAGCCAATCATGAGCAGCATAAAAGGAGCTTTTAGTGACCATAGTCTGTAGCCAAAGTACTGAAGCAACCCCGCGTGCAGTTTCACACATTCGAGCGATGCCATTAACGCTTTGCCTCCAAATTGTCACGTTAGCGCCGTTTGATTTGAGAAATTTTTTCATTTTTGCAATTTTTCTTTTTGAGAACAATTCTTGACAGACGACCGATCCTTTAAAGGATCGATTTTTGTTTTTGCATAGAAATTGTGATTTTGATAACAAATTACATAACAAGGTTTCGTAGAAGAACTTTAATGCTCTGTATAACGGCGACACAGATTTGAAAAGATTTTGAGGTTTAAAAAGACGATCAATGTCGGTCGGCCGACAAAGGTTAAATGAAATATCTTGATGTTGGCACTGTTATAATATGCCTTTAGCAGTGATAACTTTAATCTGATTAACAAGCAGCGATTTTTGGAGAAGGTATTCTTGGGAATACAGGAAACATTCAATTCTATAGAAAAAAATCGGCTCTATTAAGTACTATTTTTTGCAACGGGGTAAGTATTGTCATTTTTTGGTAATAACGATTTAAATTTAGTATTGCAGAACGTTCGCGCGCACATGGAAAATACCGCCCATGTGCTTGTGAAGATACCGATCTTCGCCAGCGCTGATCGACGCGGACACGAGTTTCGAATAAATTTTGTAACTTCGATACGTTCTCATATTGATATAAATCATTACATAGGATCTGCTGCTAAAATCATGCCGTCGGCACATTTTATGATAAACGTCTTAACATCTGAGGTATGTTGATACGGTTTATAACAAACTTTTTGACGAGGGCTAGCAGTTCCGGCCAGAATCAGGGGCTGCAGGCGCGGGTTTTAGTTGCTGTTATTCACGGTTTCGAAGGTGTGAGGCTGACGATTGTGCTGTTAATTGCAGCTGATGAAACGGAAATTTCTTTTGATCCTGGCGATATCATTACGCAAGTCGACAAAATCGATCCAGGTAAAAATTTCACATTTTTTTGGATATGTTGAGTTGTGTACGAGATTTTCGGAGGATTTGCTTTTCTTTCAAAATTGTATTAAAAAATATCAATTTATTTATTGTTGTTAAAAATTTTAATATAATTTGTCGTTAAATTTTTTAGTATTCTTTTTTTACTAAATTTTGGTTTTCCGGTTTTTTCGTTATTTCCTTTTATTCAAATTGCAGTAAAAAGTTTTGGATTTGTTCCAGTGTGAAATCTGTGTCAGCAGTTTGTCTGTTGTCAGTTAATTTGATAGTATTAAGTTTTACTGGATTTCGGGTTTTTGTATAGGTTGGTATCAAGGATTGGCACCCAGTGGCCAGTACGGATTATTCCCGGCGAATAATGTGGAAATGCTAACATAGATTTACGTCAACTGGCTTCGTCATAGTCACTATTATGCGGCTTTTGCGCTATATTTCGCCGGATTCATCTTGGACCTTCTTTTTTGATTTGTTCCTGTGCCTCGTTTTGATTTTGGGACCATGTTTTTTTGCTTGTTTGCACTTTGACGTTTAGAACGTTATGCGACAGGATTTGCGTGTGCTTCTGGCAGTTCTTGTCACGGATTTACATTTGGCTTCAATAATTTAAACATTTTTTTCGGCCTTTATTCACCAGTTTTGATGTGTACATTGCCATTTTTTACTTTTTTATCCCTGCGCTGAACACGCGGTTGCTGGTTGTGCGTGGAGGATTTGTTTGGTTTGGAATGACTTTTTGGTGTGATTTGTATTTTGTAGAAAACAAATTTGGCAGGCTTGCATGGCAGCTTTTGCTGGGAAATCTTTTGCAGATGTTTTGATTGAGCGAGTTCGTAATAAATGGAAAGAAACTACATACATGTATAAGAATTGAAGGTTGTTCCGATAACGTACACCCAAACACAATATGACTGGCATAAGATGATAAAATTACTTTCAGTAATCACATTCACATTAAAAAATTAGTAATCACATTCATTCTGTAACTTATGAAAGTTTCCCGGCATATTTCTAATACCCACAAATAAATATGATCAAAACTTAATCGTTTCTCTTATACGCGTTAATTAGTTTTCAGCTACACACGTTTTCTAAGTGTACATGGCTGTTTCCGTAGCCGCTATAAAGCCATTTTTTAACAACTTCTGCCTGCCTGTTCTGTGCGAACTGCTAACAAGAAGACTTTCGCGGAAGTCTGAACACCTTGTTCCGAAAGTTAATTGTAAAGAAACAATGACACGCTTGTCACGTACACGGCACTTGACGAATTATGAGCTGTTCGTATTGTACATTGTGGTGGATCTGGCCACTCGTTTACCATACTTACGGCAATTAGTCGTTGTATTTCATTATTAATAATGACAATCAAAATGGCAGCACAAATTGGCAACCCGGCAACATGGAGATCTAATGCTAGATCCAACTGTGATCCAGATACGGCGACCTAAACGGAATAGATCCCGTGGAGCGAGCAATGCGATATGTATTGCGAGCTATGCGGAAACGCAAGACGTCGCACCGCTAATTGCTAACTTTAATAATATTGAAAGTTCCGACAACAGAAAATCAATACTGATCGGCACAGCTCGATCGTCAATCGTGGAGCCAAATTCAAAGTGTGCAGCACGTGCTATGCCGCGCCCACTGACACAACTTAAGCCAATCAGAGCGAGACACAACACAGACCGTAATCCAAAGGCGTAGCGCCTAGCGCCACGGACGTGAACGCTAGTGAAGCCTCGTCTCACATGCCTCTGGGGGATGCCGAGCTCCGTTGAGGCTGGACACACTCCCGAATCCACGAAAAGACGGTCGCCGGTGTCTGTGCATGCTCGAAAACATCTAATTCTCTTATTCCGTTTATCACATCAATTCCAAATACACAATGTGAATTAAAGAGATCTGTATCAAAATACTATTCCATATCAATTCTAATACAAAACAGATCAACAGTTAAAAGATCAACAAAAGTATTAATCAAATGTAGACTAGGATCCTCCATTTCTGACTCGTAAAGGTCACAGGTCCTGTCCACCGTTTTCAGCACTTTGGCTCATTCCGCTCTGTTGAGCAATCCCGCGCATATGTAAAGCGACTTCATCACAATCCACTTGAGAATCAGGTGCGTATCAATGTACGACTTTAGAAATACTGCTTCATCTTTGGAATAAGGTGCGTATCAATCGTACGACTTAAAAATGAGATCCAATAAAGGTCATGGAGGGACGTCAATAAAGACAAGCGTAGTTCGCTTCCTCCCTGGTAAAGGTCATCCTTTGTTGAGGTGATCCGGGATGTGCGACTCGTTTGGGTTAATGGTCCCAAAAGGTCATGCGACTTAAATTCTAATACGGTGACTCTCTTGGGCGGTAATAATCCCAAAGGTCATCCAACTTCTCTTCAAACTTCGATTAAAGGTCATGGAGGAACTTAGCCAATTATCTGCGGCCTTCAAGCATTTCTTTGCTTGCCTCCCTGGTAAAATTTTCAGGTTGACCTTTCCGTCGCACATCCAACTTCAATATGCCTCGAGCGGCCAGAGTGCCGGCAAGGTTTACCGTAACATCTCTGATGGGGCCGGCCAACTACCGCATCAAATTTACCCCATGAATTTCCACTTAACATCTTTCACTCTTGTTCGCCGCTTGTGGCCAGTCTTCGTCTCGAGAGATCCGGCTGAATTTCCGTAGTTTCTCTCGTTAAGTTCTGACACTGAATCGCTTAGAGATGGCCGGCATTGTTTACCGTAGCAACTCTAATGAGGCCGGCTAGCTGCCGCATTAAGTTCACCCCATTAAAATTCCACCTGTTGTCTTTCTCTTTTTCGCCGCTTGTAACCCTCTTTCGTATTCAAGAGATCCGGCTTGATTACCGTAGTTTCTCTTGTGAATTTATAACACTGAATCGCTTAGAGGGAGAGCCGGCTAACTGCCGCAACAACTCCATTGGGGCCGGCTTTAAAGACCGAATCAATTTCAACCCCAAAAACTTTCCACATGATTTCTTTCTTCTGATTCTGTGCTATAAATGCTGAAAACAACAATTACACGAATGCAGTTTAAGTTAACATGTTACGTGACCTTTATACTTAACCATGATATTCGCTTCTGATGACCTTTCGTGACCTTTTTCGTTAAATCATTAAGCTCAATTGCTTCATTCTAACGCGGTGACCTTTTACGTTTTGTCGTTTACGCCAGTTCAAGTGCTCCGTCGTTAATCAAACATTCAACAGAGTTTCTGATTTACTTCCCATCCTTTCCGATATTCAGTTTGAACATTTCAAAGTCAGACAGCCATGCAGTTTAAAAGGTCATTCAACGTCACTGCGTTTGTTCCGACGATAATATCCATGGCCGCATCAGTTATGGCCGCCCCCACGAATTTTTATTGTTGTGCCCCGGTAGTATGTACACCGGTATGTTTTTCGCTGGTATACCGCTAGCATCCGGTTTCTGGGGGGATAATGCCGAGTCCGTTGGGTCCATTTCCTGGCTCTCTGTTTCAACAATCTTCAACTTCGCCAACGATCCGGATGATGACTGGGCCGATTTCGGCTGATTATTCTTCTCTTCTTGCGGCAAGGTCTCGTGACTTTTCGGTTTCTCCGTTCAGGTAGCCTCTATCAAGGATTTCTGAAACACTTGACGCGCCGAATCGGTTTCCGCATCTGCTGGCGCTTTTTCCATGGGGAGCATGCCCTTTTCCTTCTCCCCTTCTTCCGACATTTCATGGTCTTTCAGTTGTTCCGTAGACGCGGAACTCTCTTGACCTTTAGGTTGCGCTTCCTCTTTCACGGTTCCAGACGTCTCTTGATCTTTAGACTGTTCGTCTTTTTCTGACCAAGTCCCGTGACCTTTCAGTTGGTCTGTCACTTGACGTTTCAGTTGACACTTGGTTCACTTGACATTTGACCTTTAAGTTTATTTGCGCTTGACCTTTGGTTCGTTAGTCACTTGACCTTATGGTTTTCGGTGATCCGACTTCACAATCTCATCTGATGACCTTTTATTTTTGCTGATCTAGATCTTTCGTGACCTTTTGGCTGTTCCATTTGGATTTCTGCCGGAGTCTCTTAACCTTTTGATTTACCTTCTTCCGGTTTTGCTTCAATCGACGTTTGCACATCATTTTGTACTTCAGTCAGAGTTCGATGACCTTTCGATTGGACGATAATTTCTGAAGATTCCGGACTTTCGTGACCTTTTTGTTGTTTCATTTGAATTTCGGTCGGAGTATCTCGACTTTTCGATGACCTTTCGCTTCTCTCGTATGATTCAGTCCGAGTCTGATGACCTTTCGACTGGAGGACCTTTCTGTTGACTTTTCATCCATGATGACCTTTCTGACGTCTGTTTCGATGACCTTTTAACGTTTTTGATGACTTTTCGTCAGAGTTTGGTGACCTTTCGACTAACATCGAACACGATAACGATTAGCAGGTTTGTGGCGTATGACCTTTACACCTTCCCAACTCCTATTTTTAGTGAAGTAAAAACCCCTTATTCGTATTTATGTGGGTTAATTTTCTTTGCGTCCTTTAGTTATCCGATCAAGGAGTTCTTTGTCGGCCGCATCTTCAACTTCACCTTTCTGGGTCAACAATTCTGTAGGAGTCAGTTTCTTTTTCTTCTGTTTGACCTTTCGGTCATCGATTGCTTTTGCTATGTCGCGGCCCAATTGTACAGCTTTCGATTTGACCGCTTCTATCTCCTCTTTTCTTTTTCTTATGAGGTCATTCTCATTGCCGGTAGCAGTGCGTGGTTCGAAAAAGTTCGGATCGCGCTCTGATATCTCGGCGCCTGTCTGCTGTTTCAAAAGGTCGTCGGTGTCTCTGGTA